TATTTTTTTTTTTTATTTATTTAAAATACTTGAGGACCCTGAAATGAAATGCATAATTAAATTGTAACATTGAAATTTTAGAAAACTTATGCCAAGTCAAGGTTTGAGGCAGGGAGTTCGCGTTAAAGGGCCAACAACCTTCTCTGTACGGTGTACCCTGGCTTACTTTTATCTCGCCTTTTTAGCACGTACCTTTGACCAGGTGACACATATGTTTTGAGCTTGAATTCGGTTGCTACTAAGAAACCTGCAAGGCAAAAAAGACTTGATGAAGATTTGCGACTTTCAAAATGTGGGTTTACTATCCCACATTTATGTTAATAACTTGWTTGTAAAATAACTGWATCAACACAATTCAATATTCATCAGCTGATGCATGATTAATTTCGTAAGCGCATGTGAGTTGCGAATGAAACGGAAGGCACAAACCGTCAATCATTAATTACAGTTTCATGTTTCTAAAAATTTGCCTTATCGGCTTCCTAAGTACAACTTTCTTTCTCGTAATTTCAACTTTTTCAGCGACGCGAGATGAAGAAACTGGCTTATGTTTTGATTTTGCTTATTTCTTTACGGCTTGTGCACTCGCTTGTTTGTTGTTGGCTGCTTTTGAAAAGCTTTAAACTTTAAGGAAAACACTTGAAGTGAGCGTAGCGTGTGGTTGCGGATGGTGCCGGCTGCTGCTGGTGGTGCTGGTGGTGCTGCCACTCGAGCACGCACATGTGTTGCGGCAGGGGGGCGAGGCGAATCGATTCTGCGCCGCCAGCGCAAATGAAAGTTGTGCGCGAAATGGTTTGTTGGGTGCCGCCGCTTAACATTTGCTGCCATCTCTTCTAATTTGGTCAATGCTGGCTCACTTCTGCGCCGCTAAGACAGTAAACCAATGGGCCAATTGCTAAATTAGCCATGTGCCCAATAAGCGCAAATGCGACAAATGAGGAAGTCCACGAAGTCTCTTTAGACCATTCAAATGCGATTACCGGCCGCCTGGCCTTGTACAAATTTGTAGCTAACCTTAATTTTCTCTCTGTMTTTCTCRCCYATCTGACAGATGTTGCTTCGGTGGAGGTGCACGCGAAGGAGGCATATTTCAATGGATCCGCCTATCTGCGCCTGCAGACGCCGATGACCACCTGGGACCACTCGGCTATCAGCTTCCGCTCGTGCCGCGGCGGCGAAATACTCGCCCAGCAATACAACAAAAACTCAATTGTAATCTCAGTGCTCAACGATTTCCTGCAAGTCTCGCTAGCGGGCCCGGCCGTGATTGGGCTCAACAATCGCTTGGATGTCAGATTGCCCTACCAACTGTTGGACAATCGCTGGCATACGCTGCARTTCAAGTACGAGTACGGCAATCTCTATTTGCATGTGGATCGTGAGGCAATTATCTTTGGTAAGTGATTATCTTTCAATTCATTCCGTGAAACGATACCAACGATGAAAAGAAATTGCGGTCGAACAGACATCCCACACACTACACTGCAGTTAAATATGTACTCGAACCCTAGAAATATAGAAAATCTACAATGAGAAACCATTTAGCTATTTTTATAAAGTATCCCATATAAATAAATAAATAAATAAATTTACAAATTAAAA